AGTAAAATATAATAGTAAATATTTTTTATTTAATTTACAAGTCGTACTGATACGATGGGACACCCAATATATAAAATATCATATTTTCAATTTTCAAAAATATTTTAATATGTAAGTGATTTAGTATTTCAAATATTTGCCAGATACTTGGATAACCTGGATACCCAAACAATTGCATTATTCATTTTGTTATAACAATAACACCTCAATTATGAATAAGTTTTATTTTAATTGCATTCATTCATTATTGGTACAGTACATTGTCATTACCATAAAAACATAACAGTACAGAAAATAAATGTCATAAAATAACAAAATTTCAAATAATTTTATACCAGTTTAATATTAGTACTAAACATCATAAAATATAAATTGTATTATATAAACTTTTTGTGTTTTAAAATAAATTTATTGATTAACTATTTAATAATTTTTATAACTTCAAAAATATTTATAGCTTTTAAAGTTAACAAGTTATTAATACAAACATCATTTAATCATGATTAATATTAATCAAAAATTACCCAAGAATCTATTAACTCCTGGCGCTGCAAACAAATTGTACAAGGTTGGTTTAAGTCATACACCATATGATACTTGCAATAGGAGTTTATTGCACAATCCAATAATAATTAATACAATTCTATGGGTATTCATTACTAAATTAATTATTGGTATGATTACCCGTAAGAATACTACCCTATTAACTATACTTGGTGATATGCCATATCTATTTAATGTCACAGAGCATATTAATCTGTCTGCACTGTGCTGGGTAACGATGAACATAAGCTATAAATTAATATTCTACATAAACTATAAACAGGGTATTAAACCCACATTTCTATCTGTGTTTGCTATGTTATCGGGAATGACTACTCCGGCACATATTGGTCTCATTGATGATAAAACAGTCGTTAAATTAGCAAAAATGACAAAAATATTGTTTAAGATAACAAACCTAAACATAAAATGTTTTACAATACAATTTATGCTATTTTTAATACCAACTTATATTAGAAAGTTTGGTATATTTAATGCAATTCTGTACGGAATTCCGAATACTATTATATTTGTGTTTTTGGCTTACTATACATTTAATTATAGTATGTGGTTACTTGTTCACTACTTTCTATTGTGTTATTATATTAAATGCAAAATTAGTGTAATTAATAATAAAATTTCAAACCATATAAATAATGGTTATCAATTTAATATACAATATATTAATTCAACAATGCATTTATTAAATAATATTTTCGATGAGATATATGACTATAATGCCACTTATCTATCCAAATATTTAATAACAATTTGGCTATTATTAGGCACAAATACAGTTATTTTATTGTTCATACTATTGTACCAATCATTAAAATTAGTTGATTTTATAATAATACTAAATTCATTATTAGCAAATGCAGTGCAATTTGCGTTTATATTATACATGTCATCGACAGTCAATTATGAGACAAACAAAACTTATAAACTATATTTTATATTTTATATTTTATAACTTATATTTTATAAACTAAATGCAAAATTTATTTTTCAAAATGTCTACACTGGTAGAAATAAAATACCAAATATTTTATTACAACAACCAAATCATGAAATATAAAGCGAATAAAAACTTTATAAAAATATTCTTTAATATTCTGTATTATACTTAATGTCATTCTGTATGCAATTCTTAATGAAATAAATAAATACTAATGATAATCATTAAATACCTAAATAGAAACTTATTTTTAATCCCGGTACTAACTCCTCATTGACTTAGTTCCAGGTGCCGGTCATTATCAGGTTGTATATCCCATGGTTGTTGTTTAGCTGACCCGAAAATAATGAATACGAGTCCACCGAATATGTTAAGTGCGGCCGACATATAGAAAACATAACCCCATTGCCTACGGGTGTGTTCATTGGTATCGCCCACTATTACCCCAATCACCAATGGGGTTATTATACCGCATGTAAAGGCTATGGAGTTAGCGATCGCAAATACCGTTCCCATGTAGTTGGATGTCATATCTATTGAATGTATAAATAAGTAGTTTTCAAAACTTTAACATTTAATGTGCGATCAAATATACCGGCGTCAACGGGCACGTCCCCACCACCGCGAAGTCCGTATAAAAATACACCCTGATATATTAAATAATGAACAGTCATTTTATAAAAAATTATAATGTTATGCAAAATACAAACAATTATGAGTAGGGTTATAACGAGAGTATTATTACAGTTGACTAATGGTATGATTGCCAAACATATAGCCGATCCTATTGTCGCTGTTATGAGACAATTATGTGTCAAATAATAGTTAAGAATATTGTATTTCTTATTACAAACCCAACGATTGAAATATTTTTCGTATTAGTGTTTTGTCGATATGTTTTTTGCTGACCAAATAATCAGACAAAAACCCACCAATAAATAGCCTATGAAATAAATCTATTTTATTAAGCTTGACAAGTATTTTAAAATATTCATTTAGTTGCCCTACCCAATGGGAACGGTAATATTTACACCGGAATTAATAAGGCCATTCTGTATTATTAAAATAATCATAATAATAATATGAATTATATATTTTTATCTTTAATCTAACCTGCTCAGCTGAATAATTAAAAACAGTTTTTAAGTACGAGGGTAATTTAAGTAACATCATGATTGAGTTCCAGTTGATTGTAAACTTCACGATAATTAATGAGAGCACCGGTAGTGATGTAAATATCTGAATCCAAGGCACCGGTGGTTTTACTTTACTTTGGGCTATTTTACTACTATTTGCATTACTGCCATAAATATCAGGATTAATAACTTCAAGTTCACTGTCCGACACCCAGGGATGTTGGTTTGGACTACTTTGAATTAATAGCACCCAGATCACGCATGCAACGACAGTCATTAAGGCTGTTTTGAAAAATAGTAATTAGTGGGGTTCAATAAGTTATTTTTAATTTAATTATGCTAATTGCCCTTGCTTACCTGACACATAAAAGACTGAGGGCCAGCCCCCTGCAAAGCCCTCCTCAGTTAAATACCCGGTTAGGGCTGACGTGACAATAGTGCCAATATTACCACCGATGAGGGGCAGGGATAGGATCGCACTAAACATAATGTAATTACTATTAAAATTAATTCACACAAAATCATAGCATACCTGCGCTCGTGTTCGGGCGTCCACTTAGCAATCAACGCATAACAGGCCGGGAATAGCACACTCTGAAAGGCACCCAACACTACACGGCTAGTGATGA